GGATCGTCACTCGTATAAAAGGATGAAAGTACACTATGCTCTAATGCATTCGTATTTACAGAGTGTACAAATCAAAGTGAAGCAAGAAAATAGGATTTAAAGAAAAACGCTCGATTTTCAGATGCTGTTCGCAATGAAAACAAGAAAAAGAATGATATCCTACGATATAGAGAAAATGCCGGAGCACAGGGAATAAAGAAAAAAAAACGTGGCACTTCCGAAGGACCCTTCTCTCAAGAGAGGGGCTCGTTCGGGACGAGCCAGCGTTTTAGGAGGCCGCGTCGCTTATGTCAATATACACAGCTCTCTGGGACCCGCAAACAAGGCTGCCAACCACGTCGACAAAGCAAGGCGCGGCTGCGAAGCGGCACGTCGGAAACAGGCCAACGAGCTCGCTTTACGCTTTCAGCGGGCGTCGCTATAAATGTCTCCCGTCCCTCAACCAAAAGAAAGAAAAAAAAATGTAACGGCGTTTCAGGAAGAAAATAGGTATGAAGATGTCGCGGTGATAGTCGTTCGTGCTTTGTAAGTGGAATGGAAAAATAAGTCGCCCCATTTACCCGTTTTTTGGCCGGTAATCAACGCGGAATTTTCCGAAAGATTCTTCCTTGAACGTAAAATTTGTTCTGGTCAAAATATACAAATCCGGGGCCGGTGCCTCACCAGTGCAGTGATTCAACTACAATCAGGAAGCCTGCGAATCGAACGGAGAACGCGAATTGTCGACGTACACTGGCTCTAGATGAGGCAAATCGGTCGAATACAGAAACCATATTGAAGACAAAATTTACACGCTACACAGTTGCTTAGTCTCACACGAACGTCACGGAAATGACGTAACCTGATACTGTAGCATCTGCATAATCGTGCGCATGGTTTCCCTTCAGGGGGGCGATGGTTTGTCGCAGCCCCCCCTCCCTATCCTGTTAATGTATAGAGGTGTGTAACTAAAATAAAAGCGCTTAGTGGTGGGATACACCTGCAGGATATACCTCGCATATACGGATGTCGCAGGATTGACGTGAAGTGAAAAAATATCTGGCTAGTTTCCATGCATCCCAACGAGAAGTCGCCATCTCACCATTCTTTGAGTTCTCTACTGCGACAGCCTTCGGTAACGACGCAGTTCCGGCACCCGCATTATATTCCGCGTCTGATAATCCTGAGAGACTCAGGAGTGCGCAGTTGAAACTTCCCGCAACACATAAATATTGTACCTTTCACGGGAACCGAACGGGTATAACCGGACTCAAAGCACAGGACTCAAACCCTGGATCGAATCCCGTGGTACAACAGCTTATAAATGCGAAGCATCTCTTAGCGAACTTCGGCGACTTTGAGCGTATCTATCTATCTATCTATCTATCTATCTATCTATCTATCTATCTATCTATCTATCTATCTATCTATCTATCTATCTATCTATCTATCTATCTATCTATCTATCTGTCTGTCTGTCTGTCTGTCTGTCTGTCTGTCTGTCTGTCTGTCTGTCTGTCTGTCTGTCTGTCTGTCTGTCTGTCTGTCTGTCTGTCTGTCTGTCTGTCTGTCTGTCTGTCTGTCTGTCCGTCCGTCCGTCCGTCCGTCCGTCCGTCCGTCCGTCCGTCCGTCCGTCCGTCCGTCCGTCCGTCCGTCCGTCCGTCCGTCCATCCATCTATCTATCTATCTATCTATCTATCTATCTATCTATCTATCTATCTATCTATCTATCTATCTATCTATCTATCCGCCTACGACTTTTAGCTCTCCTGGCCATTTCGGTAATGGTATCAATACCGAATTTCGTATGGTCTGGCATAACATGACTGTATGACGAGCATAATTGACTAGTCATAGCACGACTACCATGACATGTATGTCATGAATGTCATGATTTACATTTCATGGTCCTGCAGCTCTTGCGGTGGTTTCGTTCACATGGATTGTTGCAAAACTTGTTTGGTATGACATGATTCAATGGCGAACGCAAGCGACATACCCTAACATGAAAATCATGCCATGCGTGTCATGTAACAACATGACTACATGCCGCACTCATGATGCACTCGCGGCTGTTTCGCTAGCGTCACATATACCAAATTTGGTATTACGGTACGTGAATGGATGACGAAGGTATGTGACTTGTGCAAACATGATAAACATGAGATGCGTGGCATGTAACAACATGACTACATGCTAGCTCATGATGTGATCGTGGCCGTTTTGCTAGCTTCTCATGTACAGAACTCGGTATTACGCGCCGCCAATGGATGACGAAAGTATGTGACTGGTGCAAATATGATAATCATGAGATACGTGTCATGTGAGGACATGACTACATGCCACAGTCAAGACGCCAATACATTTTGACCTGACGCGGTGCGCGTGCTCGCCGGCGTTCATTTCGTCGCGTCACGCCGGCGTTGCCACGCCAGGCGCCGGTCCTGCAATTTATTCGAAGGCTCGCGCAGCGCTGCGTTGCTTTGACGCATGCGCGTTTCAACGCGTCCAGCGTCCCTCCGTCACGAAAAGAGGGAGAAGCAGTGTTGTCTGGGTGACGGATCGGCGCGAAATGCAGCACGTCGCATTTCACGCGGGTTGCCATCGGGCCGCGCCGACGGACGCTGGTTGCGTCTAGCGTCAGACTATAAGTGCTCGCGTTTTGCTAACGCAGCGTCACTGTGCCCAACGTGCGCGCGCGTCAACGCTACACTGGAGCGTAATGGGCCCTTCATGATGCGCTTTCGGCCATTTTGCCAGCTCCAAATATACCAAATTCAGTGTTACGTGACGTCAATAGATGACGAAATATGACTGGTGCAAACATGATAATCCTGACACGCGTGTCATGTAGGAACATGACAACATACCACGCTCATAGCGTGCTTGGAGCCGTTTCGCTAGCTCCACATAAACTAAATTTGATATCAAGTGACATAAATAGATGACGAAGGTAAACGACACATCCAAACATAATAATCATGACACGGAAGTCATTTACGGCATCACTTACTTCCGCCTCCTAACGTTGTGCTGAACTTGAAGGGACATATCAACATTTCTCATTTGTGCTTCGCATAACATCGATTCCAACTCGACGCGAGATCTGCCAATTTTTATCGTTGCTGTTTTTCTTTTTTTTTCGCCTGAAAGCACGATTCTGATAGCCGTGAAGCTGCGATTCTGATATCTTTTGCGAAGGTAGACACTCATGCTATACGCCATGTTCGGGCCAACACATTAGTAAAGCGTGCCATAGCAACAGCTTCGTACATCTTCTTGGTCTGTCTACAGCTATATGTGCGCGAACCTGACGCACATAAAAACTTTAAAGAAAATTATGTTGGGCGTTTTGATTTGAAATCTCCGCCTCCATTTTTTCTCGAACGAATGCTCACCTCACCGCGAGTTTCTGTTCTTCAACCTTTACGACATATGTACAAACCCAAGACAAAGCTCCTTCAGGACCAAGCCGTCTCCTTTTTTTATTTTACTTCTCGATGAAACAAAAAATTAACTTCGCGTTTAAGTCGTGTTTGAGAAGCGAGAACGCTCGCAAATATTTTTCACGCTGCCTTGCCATCTGAAAGACTATCGTTGCGACGAACCTTCGCCCCCTGCTCCCTGAAGGGAAACCTCATGCACGACCATGCCCCCTTTTCTCGGTCTCTGTAATGCCTAATTTCTGACGCGAGCTAGGGAGGGAGCCTTCCAATAACATTCTGCCCCACTTTATTCAGACCAATATACGTTCTACCTGGAACTACACAATGAACGTTAAATCACGGACGCCTAATTACAGCACTTCAGAAATTCGAAACGAGTCAAGGATCGTTCACTATATGATGACTTTTACTCGGCACCCATTCAATCCGTTTGTTCATCCGTGACTAAATGATACGGCTTCTCTCATAAATGAGTGATTGCTCAACAACGTTTTGTGTATGCCTCGAAAGCAATAGAAGCAATTCGGGTGTTAATTGGTGAAGGCAATACTGAAAGACATCCACACCGCTCGCACAGTAAGTAATGACAGCTTGCCTGAAGATCGCAGTTTCATACCATCGTTATCCGATCATATTTGTATAATTAAGTTATTTTATTCTTAATTATAGGCACTCAGCTTTCCACGAGAGTCAGACTGCATGTTGCTGAAGAAGCATTTCCTTTTTTTAACGAACAACCAAGTTCCGCAGCCAGGAATTGGGGGTAAATGCGCTAGTAAACTAGGAATTTAGTTACGGTCAAGCGAAATATGAACATTAAAAAATGCTTCAAAGAAAAAAAATTATGACAAAAACACTGGAGAGCGAGGAGTGAAGGTCATATTACCACTCGCTGACGTAGGGTAACTGCTGGTTAGCGTTGGCTATGTGTTGACTATCTGTTACTGGCTAACTCTATTTTACTCTTGGGTAACGTTAATTCTAACTAACGCTAGACACTGTTGGTCACTGATGGCTAGTGTTACCTACAACATCTAATTGTTAGTTATCTTGCCTTTATACAAAATTAACAATTATATATATGCCGACAGTGGCCAGCATTACGAGCACTAGTTTAATCCGAGTAACTGCGGTAGGTTTCCCACAAACCATACTCAAAAGAATCCCCAACAACGCGATCATCTCTGCGTCGCTTCAAACCATTTACCTTCTATTAATTTTTTCTTTCATTTAAAGTTGATAGCATTCGAGTGCATACTCCATCTCAAATAAGATGAGAACTCCAGCTTTACGTCACCGCAGACTGATTTCTCCGAATATCGGCTTGAATAACGTTATCTTGTTTGTTTCCAACGCTTTCCCACGAAATCCTCCGGAAGCCCTACATTCTGCTCCCATAAAAATGCGTCGCATTACGCATCTTTCTCTAGTTCACTTGACTGGCTTCATAATTTGAGATCAGTTGTCTCCTCTTCCCCCTCCTCTACTGAAGGAGACTGAGTGATGAAGAGGAAGGCTATGGGGAAGGAGAGAGTGAAAAGACTCGGAGAGGGGCGCCCTCTGTGCGTCGCTCACCGCAGCAGGTGTCCATCCCTGCGGCGCGTGTTCTGCCAGGGCGTGTCCTCGTAGCGGTAGCCCTTGCGGACGAGCGGCGCGCACGAGCAGCTCAGCTTGTTGCCCATGGCACCCTTTCCTCCGCCTCAGCAGCAGCGGCCTCCTCTCCTCCTCCTGCTGCCGCCGCGCCGCGGGCCTCCTCCGCCTCCTTCGTCGCCGCCGCCTCCTCCCGCCGACCCTGCGCTCCGCCGCGGTCGGCTGCGCCGCAGGGCTTCTCTGCACAGCGGTCAAGCACAGGGGAAGAGCACGCTCAGAGTCTGCTTGATCGCTCGATAGGGCTCGCCGGCTCCCGAACTCAATTTTCGCCGGCGCTCTCTTTCAAAGAACACTCGCGAGACACATGTTTTTCTTCTAGCGATGTTTTGTTTATGACTATACAGATTTGTATGTTTCGTTTACAAGTGAACAAAAAATACATGAGAAAGTACGTTACATTGCAGCTGGATATTACATAGACAAGAAAATAGTATTGCTAAGAACAAACCAGAAAAGTAAGAGCAAATAATAGAATAAAAAATGAACAATAATCGTAAGCACTATGTACATATTGTAATGATGACAAAGCGGCGATCGTGCTCGGCGCATACCTGGGAGAGACGGAAGACGACGAAGAGGAAGCAGATAAAGAACAGCCGGCCTGCAGCAAAGGCGTTGTCTCTTTGTCTCTTATTTCTCGTCGTTACAATGGCGCAGTCGCGAACTACTGACCCCGATATCCCTGCGTCCACTACACTTCGAAGTGGACGAGTGCTCTCGAACTCCCCACCGATCACGGACGGCGTCCAAGCCTCCACGGCGGCACCGCATCATGACTGCAGCGAGGCCATTTCTCGAGGCTTCTCTCTGTTCGCCCAAGAGCTCAAGACATCCGGGTTTGGCTGCGCCTCTTTTGGATCGTTCAACGAGAACGAAATTCCATATTTTCATGGATTCAAGGATGACCCTACCAACTGGGTAAGCGTGATAAACTCGGTTGCCCTTAAATACTCGTGGAGCGACACGATTAAGAAGTCGGTCGCTGAAGGACGTTTGCGAGGATCTGCCCAAGCGTGGCATCGTTTCCAAGGCAGTACATACGCTACATGGCAAACATGGAGCGCGGCCCTGATGTCCGCGTTTGCGCCGCTTCCGAGCGCTTACGACGACCGTTTCATGACCATGCGGTCACGCCGGCAAGGTGCAACCGAGGACGTCGCGACTTACATCTACGACAAGCTGGACCTTTTACAAGCTTGCGATATACAGTGGACCTCCTCCGCAGCCAGGCAGTACATCATCGACGGGATCCATGACTCGACGCACGCAGCCGTCTTGTCCGCCTACAACCACCCAGTCCACATCTCCACTTTCGTACGCCAGGCAATGGAGTTGCAGGACACGTCTCATCGCCGGGCGGCTGCAGTTGGCCCAAAGGAGCCAGCTTCACCGAGACGCGGATGCTATACGTGTGGCCGCATCGGGCATGGGTATAAAAGCTGCCCACAAAGCCAACCTCAAGCGATGCAATATCAATCACGCCCACTTCCAACCCTCAAGGTCCGCGTCGACGGCATCGGAGAACTGACAGCTCTCGTTGATACCGGAGCTCAACGTACGGCGTTGCTTCGCCGCCACGCCTCCGAACCTCTCCAGCCTTGGACTGAGCCACCACTGCGGGGTCTCGGTGGCGACGTACTACCGGTCGGTGCCCTAAACCTGCAACTCAACACCGAGGCCGGCAGCAAGTTTTTGTCCTCGGTGCCCGTCTTCGACGACCTGCCCACAGACATGGTTTTAGGGGCCGACTACCTGCTCTCCGGGGAAGTGCGCCTCACGGTGGAAGGAAGTACCGTCAACCTCCATCCTGTGGCTCCAAGTGTGCCTCCGGCGCAATCCCAAGGTGAGCTGACGACGCCACTTACACTTCCCGCAATACTCGAGAGGCACGCATCGCTCTTCGCTGATACTACTACTCAGCTTCCCGGAACTAGCGTGCTAGTGCACCATATTACAACCGACAATCATCCGCCGGTGTCCATACCGTTACGTAGATATGCCGAACGAGAGCGGATATTAATTGACCAGCAGGTGCAAGAAATGCTTGCCGCAAGCATAATCAGGCCATCTTCTAGCCCGTGGGCAGCACCTGTTGTCCTAGTCCGTAAAAAGGACGGCAATCTCCGATTCTGTGTTGACTACCGAGAGCTGAACAAGCACACCATACCAGACTCGTACCCGCTACCACGCATTGACGACGCTATTGACGCCGTACGAAAAGCGAGGTTCTTTTCGTCGCTAGATTTAAAAGCAGGGTATTGGCAGATCAACGTGGCTGAAGAAGATAAGTTTAAGACGGCCTTCCGAACACCATCTGGCTTGTACGAGTTTAATCGGATGCCGTTCGGTCTGCGAACTGCTCCAAGCACCTTTCAGCGTGCCATGAACACAGTGTTAGGCACACTGATAGACCGTGCCTGCGTCGTGTACCTCGATGACGTTCTAGTCATCGGGGAAACAGAAAAACAACATCTACAAAATCTCGACACGGTTCTGCAGAGGCTATACAACACCGGCTTTCGACTTAACCGCGAGAAGTGCCAGTTTGGGTTGACGACAATATCTTATCTTGGTTATCAGATATCTCATAATGGCGTACGACCCTTGCCTGAACGCATAGACGCCGTTGCCAAATACCCTGCACCAACATCTATAAAACAGCTCCAGGTATTCCTAGGAATGGCGTCATACTTGCGCAAGTTTGTACCGAGCTTTGCGTCAACTGCTGCTCCACTCACGGACTTACTGAAGAAAAACGCCCAATTTCAGTGGGGTCCTTTGCAGGATAACGCCTTCCAAACCCTCAAACACCAGCTTACACATAGCCCGGTGCTCTGCCACTTTAATGAAGATTGGATGACAGAAGTCCATACTGATGCGAGTCAGATTGGCCTGGGGGCGGTTTTACTTCAACGTGACTCGAGTGGGCGTGGGCACGTCATCTGCTACGCCAGTCGTAAACTATCGGACGCAGAACGGCATTATCATTCGAATGAACTGGAGTGTTTGGCTGTAGTATGGAGTGTGGATGAAAAGTTCCGCCACTACTTGTTTGGCCGACACTTCACGGTAGTAACAGACAACTCCGCGATTGCGTGGATGTTCCAGAAGCAGCACCTCAAGCACAAGTTTGCCCGATGGATTGTTCGGCTCCAAGACTATACGTACGACATCCGTCACCGTGCTGGAGCACAAAATCAGCTTGCGGACGCTTTATCGCGAAATCCGATCGAGGAGTTCTCCACACGAAATCGAGAAACCTGGATCCTGTTTTCTCAACAGGACGTGACCAAGGCTCAGCAAGCCGATGGAAGACTCGCATCCGTTATAGACTCCATTGGCGATGCGGGACGCAATGCCAAGTTTGTCTTACGTAATGGAACGCTGTATCGGCGTCACTGGGCCGATAAAAGCACCGAGTGTCATCTCCTGGTCATTCCTGACACCTTAAGATCGAGCGTACTACGCGCCATCCATGACACTCCCGAGGGAGGCCATGTTGGCTACAGAGCCACCTTACGCAAGGCACAAGAACGTTTTTGGTGGCCGAAAATGGATAAAAGCGTGCGTTCATACGTTGCCAGTTGCGAGATTTGTCAGCAACACAAACGACGTCCTGGAGCTCGACATGGACTTCTTACGCCGATCAAGCCTCCAGAGACAATTTTCCACACGTTGGGCATAGATCACATCGGGCCTCTTCCAATGACGACAGCGGGCAATCGTTACATTATACTCGCTGTGGACTACTTGTCCAAGTTCGTAGAGGTCGCGGCCGTGCCTTCGCTTGCTGCTAGCCATGTCATCCGATTCCTGAAAGATCGCTTCGAATGGCGACACGGTCTTCCTAACAAGTTGATCTCCGACCGGTCGACCACCTTTCGCAGTCGCGAGCTCCGCACTTACCTACAACAAGCTGGAGTGGACCATCACTTCGCGTCGGCATACCATCCGCAGGCGAACGGACTGACCGAAAGGTCGAACCAGACTATCCAGGCTAGACTCGCACCGTACTGTAAGAATCACAAACGAGGTGAGGCCGACTGGGATGATCATCTCCAAGCAGCTGCGTACGCAGTGAACACGGCGGCACACAGCTCCACAGGAATTTGCCCCTACGAGATTGTCTATGGTCAGCTCCCGCAACTGAATGCTACGTTCGGTTTGGACACTCCCGTTAAAGTAGGGCGTTCCGCTGCACGCCAGAGACTTTGTCGCGATATCCGTGTGGAGGCGCGTAGGAGGATTGTGCATGCTCAACAGGCACAAAAGCGATACTACGACCGACGCCACCGTCCCGCGCCGAAATACAGTGTAGGTGATGAGGTGTGGCTACAGCGAGGTGCGCCATCGTCTTCAAACAAACTGCACCCAAAGTACGACGGCCCTTACATTATTTCTGAGCGCTTGGGAGATAACACTTGGCGAGTACGATCCACAGCTTCTGATACGCGCAGAGACAAGAGAAAACGGAATAACTTTGCGGTGCATGTGTCGCGGATGAAGAACTGCATACGGCGGCAAACGTGACATTGGTTTGTGTTTTTCTTACAGGAGTAGACCAGCTGCAGCGTGGCCGAGTGTAATGATGACAAAGCGGCGATCGTGCTCGGCGCATACCTGGGAGAGACGGAAGACGACGAAGAGGAAGCAGATAAAGAACAGCCGGCCTGCAGCAAAGGCGTTGTCTCTTTGTCTCTTATTTCTCGTCGTTACAATATATACAATTCATGGCGCCTAAAGCGGAGTCTATAGGGTCACACTCTAATACATAGAGGATGGTCACATACGTTACCACAGATGGAGTCTGTACAGATAGTTTTCTATTCACTCGTATGACATGACTATTAAGTACGTCCATAAACCCTTGTATTACAGGTGTCACGTACGTTTCGTTGAATTTTTTTTCTCTCACGAAATTTTTCTAAGGCCCTCTTGGCCCCTAGCTGCCACAAACATGGAAGTACAGGCTTTCACTTACACTTCGTTGGAGGTACCAATGGTACTGCACTTTAAAGCTGATTTCTTTGTA